TTGCTACTTTTGATGGTACACAAAAAAGTTTGTAAATAGAAGTATTACAAAAAATTACATTCATATTGAAGCTACAGAGCCTTTGATAAGAGCTAATTGTTGTTGTTCCCACAACCTCACATGCAGGCACGAGCCAACCTAAAGACAGTAAGATACTGACAGTTTTTGTACTCATGATAGTTGGATACTGCAGAGGTTTACATATAGACACATATCTGTCATAGGCCATGGCTGCCAACAGTATAAACTCTGAAAAAAACAGTGTGTAATATATAAAGGCTTGGAAGAGACAGGCCTGATAAGTAATTACTTGTGTTTCAGATAAGAAGTCAGTCAAAAGCTTTGGGAAGATCGTTGTGGTGTAAAGAATAGAGTTGATCAACAAAGCTGCTATGAAAATGTACATAGGCTCATGGAGGTTCTTGTGAATCACTATGAGGCATACAATTGTGGAATTACAACAGATTATGAGAATATAAAATGCAAAGGTAACCACAAAATAAAGGTATCTATATTTCTGTAATTCTACATGCCCACCAAGAGTTATATATGTTACATTAAATTTATCCTCCATTATGACTCAAAAAATAAACAGTAATGAAAACAACAAATTGTACAACAGACAATTTGCAGGGCTGAGAAGAGGGGGTTTGAACCTTCAACTTTCTGGTTGGAGGCAACTGCTCTACCACCGTGCGCTGCTACGCACCACTGTCAGCTCAAATAGCCCAACATTACAACAGAAATAAGTAATGGCAGAAAAAGTTATAGACGTGTTAATCTCTTGTGTTGTGATGGCAATACAAAATAAATGCCCTTCATTCACTGTACAAGATACTGGTTTCGAATAGACTCCGGATATTTTGACATTCTGATCTTTACACTGTAGCCCTGCAATTTGTGTTTCATGTATGGGATACTCTTATTTACAGTCACCTGGCCTTGAAATGCACTTAGTGTTTGCTCATCTCCAAAACTCAGAAAGAGAACTGTCTGAGCCTGTGGAATGTTTTTATCAGACTGCTTCAGCCTCCATGGATCTCATTAAACTTTCCACCAACAGTGACTAATAAGTAACAACTTGATCGGACTCTGGAGGCCTGAATCCATGATAGTTTGACCTGCTTTACTGGGGCTTAGGGCCTTTTTCTTAGTGCCCCATCAAATGACACAATGTTGTTCATTTCTATGAAAAATGGGAGAATTTATTATTTAAATACACACTCAATATTTTCACTTGGTTTCTTACTCAAACTGTATCACCTGTTACTATGTATTATCTATAAAATCAAAGATTTTCTTGCAACAAATTAATCACTTTGTAAATGGTCAATAAGTCAGTCTATGGCAGAAAGCACAGGGATCATTTTAAAAGACATGGCAAGGGCTTGTCCTTTGTAGAATTAAACAGATTTAAGCTGCGCCCCTTATAATCAAAAACGAGATTTTATTTTAAACATTCAAAAAAATGTAAGCTACTTTTACTGTCTTTTTAGCCTTTATTTTAGTAGGTCAAGCAGAGGTGGACAGAAAAAAGTGGCGAGACCTGTAACAAATGTCAGTGGTCAACATACCTAGCTGAGCTGTTGGGAGTGCTGCTTGATGTTCTAGCATGGAAATCAGTAGTTTATCTTTTTCGAGAGAAAGTCTGGATCTTGTGACTAAAGCCATTTTCAGATAGGATGTGGTATGTGCTGTGTTTGCCGTGAAGGTTGGGCACAGCACAGGGAAGGAGAGTGCACATGCGCAAATTGCACAGGAAGAGGGTGTGCATCTGCCAAAATCAGCTTCTCCTCCATTTTCTTTGTGGTCTGTTAGGTTCTCGGCAATTGGATGTGCCAAGGTGCCATCACAAAGAGCTGCACCAACGTTGAACTTTTTTTTTACTTCATTGCAGCGTGCAGGTACGACACATACGACCTTGCACTGTGTTCAGCTGGGTGCAGCGCACATACATTATTGCAAGGCAGGGCAGGGCACATAGAAATAAATGGGTTCAATAGCTTAGCAGAGCACCCACCCTATCCTATCTGAAAACAGCTTAAAAAGGTTACCTTAACGTGACTTTTTTAAATCTTCATTCTGGTGGGGCTCCGGTGAGGCGTGCAGCAAGATGGCCGCTGTGGTATTCCCTATTCTGCAATAATTACAAATGGATGATACTTAAGCTTTAGCAAACCTCTTCATATTTCGCTTTTTAGAAACACTAGAAGATGCTTCAGAGTAAAAATCTCAGCTCTTGACTCTCCTGGGACCTATGCATGTATTGTATTTGTGGACTTCAGTTCAGCATTTAAAATCATCATCCTGCACATCGTCCACTCTAAACTGACCCAGCTCAATGCAGGAACTTCTAAACTGACCCAGCTCACTGTGCCTCAATGCAGGAACAGAGGACAATCAAGAGTTCTTAGAATGCCATTCTGAGGGACTTTTTAAGCTCCTGCTTCATGATATGCAGTCTAGCACCACAATAGCCATCATGAGTAACACAAGTGTACACTGATTGGTCAAACACTGAGCCAATACAGCACCAACAACTGCCATTTTTAAAAAACAGCATTAAAAGATTTGAAAATAAAAACTCAGAGGGCTGGACTAATTACTCAGTCTGTTACAATGTAGTTTCGCTTCCTGTATTTGTGTTTCTGTTTAGCCCGTCTCTCCCCACTGTTCTGCCACCATAATCAGCCATCATGTCCTTTCATCTGCCGCTCATTATCTCCCGGTCCTGCCTCATAAATATACACCCTGTTTCCCACTGATTTGCTGCTGGTTCATTTCCTATTACAGGTCTTGACATGCGCTCCTTGATCTTCACCCAGCTCTTGCCGTTTCTACCAGACTTCTCTACCGTTCACGCTGACATGCTCCGAGTTTCCTCCACGTTTCCCGGGTTGGTTTTCTATTTTTACCTGCTCTGAGTATTTAAGTTGTTTTTGAATTCTTCTGCTCTGAGTATTTAAGTTGTTTTTGACTTCTTGTTGCCACTTCGTGTGCTGTGCCCTGCTCCTTTGTCCTCCGCCATAGTAAGCTACTTACCTGCTACGCAGCAGAGCAAGTCTTCTTTGTTTACTTGATGGTGACTATTACTCTGCTTACCTGGCGGCCACTGCTGCTGTGCTTACCTGAAAGCCTGCTGCTTGACACCTCCCGGTACTCTGGTTCCTGCATCCCTCCTGTCGTCTCACCTGCTGCCGGCTCACTTGCCCGTCCTCCTGGTTCCTCACCTTACCTGTCCTCTGTTGCCCGCCACACCTCTGGCCAGCCCTGAACCTGCTAGACTTCCTGCCACTCAGCATACCTGTTCATTATTTAATAAACTGCTTTCTATAGTTGCTGCTCCCTTAGTGTTTCTGTCTGCATCTGGGGTCCACACCACACACCCACCACAACAGAATCTCTGTGACAGAGGAAATTTAAGGAGGCTTTGACAAGTCTAAGAGAAACATCAAAATTTTTGCTTGTGTTTCCTCTCAACTCAAAAAGTAAAAGACTATAACAAACAATGTGCATCTGAATGAAAAACAAACCAGTGGTACAGCATACTGGATGGTATCCTTGGCCACAGTCTGGCATATGATGGTAATGTGAGCATAAAGGATTCTGCAGTCGGGCTACTGAAGGCCATCGCCAGCAGCACCAGGAGCTGCAGTCCATCAGCAAAAGCCTCTGCAGAAGGTTACTGGATCCTTGTTTACTTTATGTTAGAAACATAAGTCATTTTCAGAGATGCACTGGAACCTAGAAATTCTCTAGACATTATCCAGGGGAGCTAGATGTGGGAACATAAATGTCCGAGTCAGCTAACCCATTCCATCAGTGGACTTCTCTCTGCCAGCTCCCTAGTACAAAGTACATGTCAGGTCTGAGTTAGCTGGAGCGAATCCATGTGAGAATATAGCAGCGTACAGTCCAGAGTATTCATTTGGAGCTAGTGGGCGAGTTGATGACATTCTATCATGTGACCAGCGTAAAACCAGAAGAAAACAAACATCTGATAGTGATGAAAAATGGTCATTTACAATGGTAACACTAAGTAAAATATCTAACTGGAGACATGATGAGATTTGGGAACTTGTGTTATTAAGAGCCAGTGCCAGAATGATCAGACAAGGCATGTCTGTATGTGTTGACCATGTCAAGTTTGGTGGGTAATGGTTGGCCAGCTTATGTCACTTCAGTGTTCTACTGACAGTGTGAATGCAAACAGAAAAAAGCCCCATGAAGATATATAGTTTTCAAGGGACGTCCACAGTGATGGACTCCAGGGAACTTAGCCCCTGGATTCAGTGCCTGCTCACCTGCTGGAGAACTACCTTACTAAAATGTGTCCCATTTACTCACAAGTTGCAGACTCACTGGCATGTCAAAACTACTCATGGCATTTACCTTTTCAGAGATTACACAAACACATCCATATTAAAGGACACGTTCTTATTGTTAACAATATTTCATCTTGTCACAATAACCTCTTGAGGTTTTTAACCATTCATTTCATTTTTACTCCATGTATGATCTGATTAAAAGAGGACTACACAAAGCTAATAAAGTCATTATTAACTGTGCAGTTTTTGGAAAATCTGGTGCCATGAAGTCTTGTCTCCCCCCTACTCTCTACTGAATGGACCTTGATGTTTCCTTGTGGGATGGTGATGACAACAGAGCCAAGAAACCAAACATTATTGCTGTATATATTCTACACTGATATATCAATCCATTCCATGTGAGTTTGCTGACTGAGCTATATATCATTACTAGGGTTCAGGATGGGTTGACATATTTAAGGCCAAATGAAACATTCAGAATGAATCTTGTGACTTGCATCACCTAAATGAGGCATTCTGGAGTAATGGCAGAAAAGTGATATGTCATCACAGTTTTGAAGCTGGCAGTGCTCTTTAATGTGTGTTAAGAGTCATAACAAGTCCAGACAATACACAATATCCAGGGATCAGACAATTCAAATGTTTGCATTGTAATTATAGAAGAATTTATCATTAGTTCATTTTGTCTCGACAGAACAACCTCTTGAGGCGTCTATAAATTTCTGTCATTTTCAGTCCATATATAATTGGATTAAACAGAGGGTTATACAAAACTATTTGTAAAGTCATTACTAAACGTGCTGTGTTTGGAATATCTGATTCAATTCGAGCTGTAATAAGACCATATAATATTAGAATAAAATAGTTGACCAACACCAGCAGGTGAGGAACACAGGTCTGTGCAGCTTTTCTCCTGACTTCTCCACTACTGTGATAACATATTATAAGTATTTTGGTGTATGTGAAAAGTATGAAGACCACAGGAACAACAACAGCATCTACAAAACAGAACACACCATATATGGATATTGCTCGTGAAGGTACACAGAATAGGTTGTAAATTGAGTTATTGCAAAAAATGATTTTCAAAGTAAAGCTACAAAGTTTTTGATTAGCAATCAATATTGTTATTCCCACATGATGACATGCAGGTATCAGCCAAGATAAAGCCAGAAAGATCACGATAGCTTTTTTTGTCATGATGGTCGGATATTGCAGAGGTTTACATATAGACACATATCTGTCATAGGCCATGGCTGCCAACAGTAAGAACTCCGAATAAGCTAACGTATAGAACATATAAAACTGAACAAGACAGGCTTGATGAGATATGATCTGTTTTTCAGATAAAAAGTCGACCAACAGCTTCGGGTAAATATTAGTGGTGAAAATAACAGAGTTCAGTAACAAGGCTGCAATGAAAATGTACATAGGCTCATGGAGGTCTTGGTGGTTCCAGATCAGGTACACAATAGTAGAATTACTGCAGATTATTAGAATATATACAGTAAAAACAACCAAAAAATAAAGGTATCCATATTTGTGAAGTTCCACATGTCCACCAAAAATTAAATATGTTACATTTAATTTTTCTTCCATTAGGAAAGTCAATGATAACTGAATATTGAAATAGGGAGATCATGTAACAGGATTCTGTGAATTAAAATAAAGAGAAAACCTTTCACCATGAAGGCTGCAGTTTGTGTCTCCTGTTTTTGATTGCCTTATTTACCATCTCTTGAGCTTGAAATGCACTTAGTGTTTGCTCATCTCCAAAACTCAGAAAGAGAATTGTCTGAGCCCGTGGAATGTTTTTATCTGACTGCTTCAGCCTCCATGGATCTCATTAAACTTTTCACCAATAAGTAACAACTTGATCGGACTCTGGAGGCCTGAATCCATGGTTGTTGTTGGACCTGCTTTACTGGATCTTGGGACCAGAGATATTTTTCAGTGCCCTAATAATTAACGTCATATTGTTTCTATGTATACTGACAAAGTCTTAATAAGATATACATTCATTTCTACACTGTATTTTATGCGATCTGTATAACTTGTTATTGTTTCATTTGTTATAAAATCAGTAGGGCTGGGAAGATTAATGCATATATTTTTGTGTTTAATGTGAACAATTTAATGCATTAAAAATATTCACAATATTATGTAGCACCTTTTATTAACTTTCTGTGGCTTTTTGCTAATGCTTTCCTGGTCTTTCCGCACTTCCTGTCGCTAATGGATGCTCACTCAATATGGAGAAGTAAAAAAGACTGTTTTAAATGGAAAATTCTACTTTACAAGCTTAGTAGATTGCTTTTTGGAAAAAACAAATAGTGTGCACATTTTGTAAAGCTGAATTTAACTATCACCAAAGTAATTCATCTTAGATGTATCACCTGAAAGCAAAACATCCAGGTGCCAACACACATGACCCAGGTAATCAGCAGTGGTTACGGCAGGGCTAGTTGGAAAACAATCAAAGTAGTGGCCTTTGAGGACCACAGTGTCATGGAGGATCTGGAAAGGGAGGGTGCACGTGGACAGGTCACCAGTCTGGCCCTGGGCTGACACACATACAGAGATAACCGTTCACACCAACAAGCAAATTAGTGTCACCACTCAATGTAACTTGCATGTCTTTGGACTGTAGGAAGAATCCAGAGTACCTGAAGAAAATCCACATGGGCACGGGAGAACATGTAAAGTCCACACAGAAAGCGGATGCACTAGCCGATGGCCCGGTTGGCCCAGTGACCATTTTTCCACCAATCACAGTAGTTCTTCGGTTGGAAAAATGACCCCTTTTTTCTGTGTCCACACTGCAGGAACAGAGGACAATCAAGAGTTCTTAGAATGCCATTTTGAAGGACTTTTTTTAGCTCCTGCTTCATGATAGGCACTCTCTCAGCACAATAGCCACCATGATTAACACAAGTGTACACCGACTGGTTGAACACTGAGCCAATACAGCACCAACAACTGCCATTTTTAGAAATGGTTTCCTGCCCTCCAGTAGTGCTCAAGGTATACAATCCAAGGTTCTAACATATGTTGTTTCATAGACTCCAGTTTATAACAGTTTTTCAGTTTTCTCTTGTCAGGATGACCTCCATCACACTCCACATCACCGTGTGCAGATCCATTGCTCTACAGTGTTCGGTTCATTAGAGCCCAATCCCTGTTGCTTTTCAAGCAAGCCATCAGCAACACTGCTGCAGGAAACACAGCTACAGAGTCATCACGTTCAGAGTGACAGTGCCTGCTCTGTGCATCATCAAACTCCTCCCTAAACAAGTTTTAAAGGTATCGGTTTTATTATTTTACTCCCTTTCTAAAGATCAAAATAAATAACAAAAACAATGTTGAAGTTTCTGTTTGCATTTATAATTACAGTTATGCCAGAAATAAAGATTCTC